CTTCCGCCGAGGGCGCAGAGATTTGTAAGCAGGCAACGTTTGGGAGGGGAGACATGTAACGCGACCGGTTATTTCGAAAGCTGAGGTGGTTAAAACCTTCACCGCGTGCGATTTCGCCATGTTCCTCTCCCAGAAATGTTTACCGTGTCAGCGGTCAGTGAATATTCCGGGCAACACTTCATCCTCCGATCAATTTCGTCTTTCATCCTTGTGGACGAAGTCACGGTGAAACAGTTCGTATTTCTCTGAAGGCAAATGCTTCTCCTGAACGCCCGGCCACGTCAAACTATAGGGAGCTCTTAAGGACAAAGCAACTTATAAAAAGTCACCATGAATCGCGGGAGTGGTAAAACAACTGCGGAATAAAACAAGTTATGATAGCTCACACAGCCGATTGTCTCCAAACACGCAACACTTGTTGACTTTTTCCGCAACTGCCCACGCCACACGGTTACACGGCACCCATTCCTGTAGAATTATACGCCAACACGGCACTTAACATTTCCGATCTCCAGTAGCGGCGGCAACATGTCACAACTTCCCTGAACTCTAGCTCCTCATTCACTTTCCCAGAACGGAGTACGCGGTTTCATAACGGCTCCAATGACCCACATATCTGGAGGCCGTCTCCGCTGTGGTAACCGGAAACGTTGGGAGACGGCGCCGCATCCGGCCAGACCTTGGCCCGCCCCCGACACGACAACCCATCTGCGCACCCGATGACTCGCCGACGCTCGAGACGGACCCGAGCCCGTGTCACGTGACTCCCGGCGGAATCAAGGTCACCATGCCCAAATATGGAGCGGCGCCCGACGCGGCGTGGGGCCGGCGGCGGTGGCCGCAGCGGGGAGAGACAGCTCCAGCTGGCGAGAGGACCCGAGCTCCAAGGGGAGTCTGAAGAGTTTGAGCTAAGTCTGTGGGCGGACGATAATCGTCCACCGTCCCGCCGCCGGCGGATGATTGTCAAGCGCGGGTCGGTGGCAGCACATTGGTCCAACCCGAGGGATTTGCGACGTCATCCAAGGCCAACTGAGTAGTGCCATTCAGGACGAGAGATACCCATTGTCGAGTGAAACGCCTTCCAACGACAGCGGGACCTCGACGTCCACGAAGGCTCGCGCGGACGCGGCTGCCTGGAAAGGCCTCTGGTCTCGCAGGGAAACACTGAGAGTGCGGTTTCGCCCCGCTGGATCTCAGACAAGACTGCCGTAAATGGTAGGATTTATTGATACTGAACAGTGGCCACTCAGCGTCAAAGGATTCTAGGAATGGTTGTTGCGGGCAGGGAACGTTTCGATCCGGTTTTCCACATTGGAGAGCATGCATGTCAGCATCTTCGTAAAGGCAAATTCACGACCAAGCAAGTGAATGAAGTCATCGTTTCTTAATGCAGAAGACTCACTGGTTCAACTTGGATTCGTTCATATGTAGCTGCCCTAGGGGCGGTTCTCCTTCAGCTGCGATCCCGCAAGCGACGGGGTAGCCACATACAAGCCGTGCCCCATAGTCACCTGACAATGGGGCCGATATTTCCGGCAGGGAGTGCGGTGAGGCCCCGTTCCCGAGCACAACCAAAAATACTGAAATATGACGCATAACTTAAGGAAACAGCCAAGACACAGATAACATGTGGCGGATTTTCCACAAGCGGCGAACATTTACTTCCAACCATAGCAGGCAACAGAGCGACCATCCCCAACGAAGCACAGCGGACCACACTGCCGTCTCAACGAGGTCTGTCGTCTGCATACAGCGGCCGCGTGACACGCTGCTGACCCGCCGCCAGGTGGCAGCAGTGAGCCCCGCCGGCGCGGCGCGGCCGGCGCAAAACCGGGACGGGTGACCCGGCCGGGCCAAGTTGCCGCGCGGGAGCCCGTCTCGGCCGGCCCCCGCCGACCTTTGACACATTTACCGCGCCGACCGGGCGCGCGTGCCGCCGACCGGAGGAGGTCGCCCTGGCCGGCTCCGGTCGGCTGCGGGGCAAGCTGTTGGGGATTCAGGCTCAGCACGGCGACGCGGCGTCATGCCAGCAGATACAGGGGGTGGGGGACTTATGCACAGCACGAGCTAGGCTGCGGGGTCCGACACCAGGAACATGTATCATGAGTTTGTCAAGTGCGTGTGACAGCAGCAACACCGTTGGTCGCCACCCATGCACCCTCACAGACGGATATGACCGCCGGCAACCGCTATGCCAGATCTTCAGTCGTTCGGTTCGCTGTTCCACCCGGACACCCAAATGTGACACGTGCAGATGCGCGGTGGGATACCACGAAGGGCTACAATACGAGTGTAATTGACGCATATCCAAACCTCCTGCGTAGTCCTCGTATCCACATACAGCTGCTGAGCAATGCCTCCTTTCAAAGTACGACTCAAGTGGCTGCCAATCGCTCCCGTAACCGGCCTTTACCGGGCGGCCATGACTCGTCAGAGGATGGCCACCCAGAGGTCGTGCGGAGGTTACCAGCTGGCCCGTGTCGGGACGCGTTGCCATAAAACCTCGCCTATGACTCAGGCGAGCCCGTGGGCGCGGCTGAGGACTCGACGCCGCGGCGGTACGCCGACCAAGCGGAGGAGTCCAGGAACGGCCGATGACTAGGCAAGAGCGGCCTCGGCCAGGGCGTGGGAGTCAGCAGACAGATTCATACGGAGTCCGTGCGGGCGAGGCTGGGTCGGCCCACACAGGGGCGTACGCAAGCTCAAATGAGAGGTGATTCTGAACCCAGCGTCAATAAGAGGTCCCTACCCACGCCGATCTCAAGGACAGTTTCAAAATGACGGGCATCCGTGGATTTTAACGCTGGGCACGCACACATACGTTGTCTCTTATTCCAAACACGATAGAATCACCGCATTAAGCAGTTCTCCCATTCGGCCGATGGACGTGATGATTCCGGGTTTTCTGGCCAATCAACTGCGCCCTGCCATGCAGCGCCCATCTCCCGCAGGTGGTCAGCACATTCTCCAAAACATATCGATGAGCACCAGCCACCACGCCTGAAGAGCACACAGTGAAGCTGCACACAGTCAACACTCACACGCCCATGGTCTTCGCTGGGGCCGAGAAGGCGAGTCACAGCACGACCCCTCCTCTCCACCCGTGACAGGCGGAACACGACCCAATCGGCAGCTAATCTGGCGATTGTTCTGCCCCGAGCCGCCACGGATGAATATTGATGGGCTGGTCACCCACGAACGGTCCTGGCCGGGGCCACCCGGTAAGTGTCGCTCTTTAGTTCCGATCTGATGATCGGCTCGGGGGCAATGATAGTTTCGTAAGGGCATGCGTAATGCGCTTCGAAGTGGTGGTCGCGGATCAGAGAGCCCATGCCTGCAGATATGTAGTATAAGGGCGCTTCGATTATTTTCAGGGTTAGGACAGTAATAATCGATGGTTTCGCATTCTTGGCACAGCGACGGAGTTTGATTCTGTGCCATTTGACTTTGGTCGACTGATTGCTACCACAAGTGTCCGAAAAGGCGGCCAGGTCGCGACTAAGAAGAACGGGGGGGGGGGGGGTCTCGGTGTTCAAGCGTGCGTAGGTCACGGCTGACTTGGTTCCGAGGCTACCATTTGAGTCGGCATCATAGTTAGCATGACATACTTCTCCATGTGTTCGTGTTTGACACCAGTGTCGTGTTTGTCCGCGGTCACCCATCATCAAGGTCATACACCATCACTGCCTCGGCCGCCGGCCCGCCGGACCAGATGGTCGGCCCCCCCCCCCCCCCCGACCAGTGCCGAGAGTTTGCACTGCCACCGGCCCTGACAGCCGAGCGCCTGATCATGTTCGACTGAGACATGACTTCGTCAGTGGTGCAGGACGTAACATCGAGCATCTGGGCGAGCATACTACGCCCCTACGAGCATGTAATGGGTCGAAGTTACGGCCGCGCGCGTGCGCGGCCACTCGCGCCGTAAACGGACGGCCTTGGCTGTCATGTGGCTGCGGCGTTCCAATCAGTCGCATTAACCAAGTGACAGACCGCGAACTCAGCCCGCGCGCTGTCTCGTAAACCGGTTAAAAAGGCGACTAAGTACTGAAGCAAGCCGACGTATGCTCAGCACTGTGGACAGCGCACCTGAGTGCTCGTGCGCGTTAGGACAATAGCTTTGGTTAGGTGATCCACGAGCTGCGCAGTAGCCAGCTGCGAGTCTCAGGGGCCGTGCGTCAGAGCTCACCCGTGTCTCTGACCTCCCGTCCCTGGTACCAGCCACCGCCAAGTCGGCCTAGCGGGCGGGACAGGGCTGAGGGGAGACTCTATTGTGAGAGTTGTTCGCCCGTCTCATCCCCCGTCGCGCCGGCGGTTTCTATGACGTCAGCCGAGTCTTGACGGACTCTGTGACGTCAGCCGAGTCTTGACGGGAGCAAAGGCGTAGTCGACATTCCAGCACGTCGCGCCCCGCACCGACGGCGTGACGTCAATCCTCTCGGACTCACTTCACGGCCGAACTGCAGCTGCCATTTACGTGGCGGCCGCCCGGGCGGCCCCACGGCGGCCGAGCTCGTTTGCTGGAGACGGCGGTTAGGGCTGTGGGGGATGAGCTGGGACTGCGACCGAGGGGCTCCGAACGGGCGCCGTGTCGGAGCTTGGGGTAGTGCAAACTGCAGGCTAATAGCCAACTTACGGTGAAAAAGCCTGACTTCCGAAGCTCCCCTGTCTTCTGTCAAACACCAAGAGGCTGCATGGGCGCGAAATACAATTTATAAGGCGGTTAACTAATGTCCTACTCTTATCCACCCCTGCTATTCAGGATTTTTTTAAAAAAGAGAGGGAGGCCCGGCGAAGCTCGGTGAATACGCTTCACGCCAATTTTTAGCTTTCTGTCGGGAGTTATTTATCGCAAAAATACGGGTCTAGGGGGAGGGGAGGGGCAAGAACGGGCCCGGAATCCCTCGACGACGCCCCTGCTGCTTCCTCAGGAACACGGTAGAAGCACCAGGTCAGGGGAGTGACAGGACGCCTCCAGTACGCCGTGTCAGCCGGGTGCTCACCTATGCAGACACCGGCGATGCCGCAGTCCAGCGTCTCGGCGCACGGCCGGTCGCCGTCGTTGCACGGCTCGCCCAGCTGCCGGCCGCAGGCAAGGCAACACTTGCAGTCGGGCCTCGCCCGAAGCAGCGCCCCCTCCGCGCACTCGGTCTGGGTAGCGTTCCTCTCGCAGCACTCGCAGGCGAGGGTCGCGGGCAGCACGGCGGCCAGCGCGGCCAGCAGCGCCCACCACCGCATCGTGTCACAGGCTCAGGTCACGGGTGCGCACACACGGTCAGCGGCCTCACCGCATCGCAGAGCGCGCTCGCCAAGACTGAGCGCCGCGAGCAGGCCGGACTGCGACGGCCGCACAAGCGGCTAGCCCTATTGACCGGCGCGGCCGCGCGGTGGCAGCACCGGGCGCCGGTGGGGCATCGTAAGTACCAAAATAAAAGTGAAAACGGCGGCGAGTGACCTCTATCGACTGAAATAGAAGAGCGCTGCTCACCTGGGGCCGTTAGAGTCGAAACTTCGCTGTGATCATGGCTTTATATAGCCCCAGAGCAGGATGCAGAGTCCTTCGCACGGAATATACTGCAGATCGGAATGTGCGAGCATAATAGGCCCTCGTGCGCCCCGTGCAGTCGTTAACGGGCATTCAGGCATGCGCAGATGGGCTCAAAGCTGCGATGGAGGCGTTATGGAGTCTAATATACAGAAGACCTACCCTTTACGTCAGAACATCCTGGACATCCGCCCAACTGCACTCTTTCTCGCTTCATGCTGCATGCTTGCGACGCCCCGTATGTCCAAGACAGGCTGCATGTGCCGGCTGCGAGCGTGCCCAAGTACCCCCTGGTGGGGGCCTCGTCCGAGCACCGAGCGCAAACCTCGAACAGGGGTCCCTCTGTGGGTTAACACGTGCTCGGGTGGGGTGGTGGGTCAAATTGACCCCCCCCCCCCCCACCCGAGCGAAGGGCACCTAGTCGGCCACCCGTGCGCGTGTTAAGCCTCGACGAATGGACCTCAGTTGCGTGACATTATGCCCACCATTATCCATTCCCCTCATCCCATAACCATGAAATGGTCATGACTGGCTGAAAGGGTTCTAATCCAAGCATCGAAATAACCCAAACAACTTGGAACTTCAGCTTCTGACAGACTTTGACTGAGTGCTGTAGGCAACACCCAACCTCAACCGGCATTTGAGCACCGCGCTGTGGTTATGTTGTCAAACCGACCCTCTTGCTTTTCATCTGTCCTTCTTTTCTCGTTTACCGTTTCATTCCGAATCCTCGCAGCATCCCGTTTCTCCGAGATGAGCTGCGTACATCAGCCGTGAACGGGCTGAAGAGCCCCACGAGGAGAGCCTCGCTGGAGCGCCCGTGCAAACCCCCAAAACAACTTCCCGATGGCCAGTCTTACCCATTCACTCACCTCTCTCCCTCCCCCATACCTCAGTCCTGAAATGGTCATTGTTTGTCGAAGAAACTCTGATCCTAGCCAAACCAAACCAGCGAGGCCTGCTGGGTGGGCGCGCTGCGCTCGTCGTCAGCTATAAAGTGGCCTTCAACTGCCCTGACGGGAATCACGCCCCAACACCAACACCAACCACGAAGTCGGGTCTCTGCGGCTGGTGGGATTCGGTAGCAGACAACCAACAATGACTGATATTTCTTCCTCGCACTTACTTTTCTCCGCAGTCCCGTGCATCCAGAATGGTTAGTACTGACGGAAATCCTCTAACCTAACAAAGCCAAAAGGCCTCTCCGATGCACTGACCCTCCTGTATCCCGCATCCCATCGCCCTGCCGGAATATGAAGCGACCTTCAGTAACGAGTCGACGTAGATGTCGCCCCCGGGCTAGGATTAATCAAACGATTCCCGATTCCTTGGCCAGCGCAAGCTAACCTTTTGTTCTTCGATCAGATTTGGGTACGCAGCAAAAGTGCTTTCAGTTATACGGTAAAGTTAGCGGACAAAACTGTCGTTTTTGGTCCAGCGATGCTCCTGGTGTGATCCGCGAAGCAACACTGTACAGTGAGAAGTGCGCCATCTGATGCGCCCTCAACAGTCGAGGCGTCAATGTTCCCGCCTGGTCTCAGAACATCCGACGGGCTGCAGTGACGTTAACGGCTGGCCGGTGCAAGGCGGCCCCAAAACCACCATGAACCTAGCAAAACAGCACAATTATGGCTGCAAAAGCCTTGAACTCAGAGACACGCCGCGTCGTCACTTCAGCAGGGAAGGATCATGCGGTACAGTGCCTGGAGCGAGATGAGGCCACATGAAGCACGTGCCGCTCTGTTCAAGCTAGGAGGGTACTGCGATCCAAGCGGCCAGACACAAAATAGCATCGAATGCTCTTTTTGATTGATGTACCATTCACGTTGCAATGGAAATAATTGTCTGAAATCTGAATCATTTACACCCGTCCACTTTTCCTGGAACGCCGTCTTTTCCAGGAAAGAGTCGTCTGCATGCGTCCTCGTAGAATGTTAGACAGTCTATGTGTTCAAGTCAGTCGGAGCGAGGACTGTCGGAGCAGAGAAAAACATGGTCTAACTTTCCTCGTAAAAGATTCTTGGAAACTGAAGGTCGTACCGTACCCGTCTGGGAGCCAAAACGGGAGTTTCGGAGCGTTCCACGAGATCATGATGTGAGAAAGAAGGCGCCAGACCAGACAACGTATGATTCAGCGGTCAGATAAGTAATGTGTGCTGGGCTTGATTAACGCACACCATATGGGAATCAGCCGCATCCGACCAGGCCTCCCTGCAGCGCTCTAAAACAGATGGCATGCTGACGAGATGAATCGCCACAAGCGTCCACAATACGAGATAGACTGGCCACGGCTGACTTGAAAGGACCTCGGCGGGACAAATGCTCGTATAGCGAGGCAACAAGTGATGCTCAGCAAGTGATGTGCAAATGCGGGTTTTGGACCGGGGTCACAATCAAATCGCTTGTTTTCTGGACGCTTGCTGGTGGAGATAATTTTACATGATCCGGACGGACGTGTACCCGAGAGTCATAGAGAGCAAGTTGTACTTCATTATGTTGAAAGCCATTTCCTATCGGGTGGACCACACCATAGGCAAAGGAACATTTTAAAAAGTAGGGGTAAACTCTGAGTATACTTTAGAAGCTTTTTCTGGGGAGCGCAAGCCCTCCCCCCAAAAAAAGACCCAGGAGGGGAATAGAGATGGAGGTTATTATCCACCATTAACTCACAGAAAATATTTGAAAATAGCTAAATGTCATGGCTGCTATGCTGGATACACATTTACAACTACTTCTCACTAGTGCTCCGTCTTGACTCTTTGACTCTATGCCATTTGGCAGGTAAGGCTATCCAGCTTCCCAGGATCATTAGACCATTGCAACATTGCTTTCCCAAGGGAAGCGAAATTTCGCGATCGGGTAGGTATCTTGGGCCATGGACGAGGCATCTGCCTCCACAGAGTAGGTGCCAAAATACGACCTGGACATAGGCTGGTCAGATTATTGAATGCGAACCGATGAACCATAGTGTGCCCATAGTAAGTTTCCATACGCCTAAATCTCACGAGCTACTTTTGTAGAGATAAGATTTGTTGCAGCATTTTAGGCGGAAAAAAATCGAGAATCTTCAAATACTAACTGCCAAAAACAACGTGGCAAAGAGTCATAAAACTGGAGCTTTTCCTGTAAAAACCAAGCTACAGAATGAAGGCTCTTGTCTGAGCCCTGAATACCGTGTCTGAGCCCTGCTCCCGTCCGTCGTCGGAAGCCACTGCCTTGGCCCGGCCGTCACGAGCTACTTTTGTAGAGATAAGATTTGTTGCAGGATTTTAGGCGGAAACAAATTGAGAATCTTCAAATACTAACTGCCAAAAACAACGTGGCAAAGAGTCATAAAACTAGAGCTTTTCCTGTAAAAACCAAGCTACAGAATGAAAGCTCCTGTCTGAGCCCTGAATACCGTGTCTGATCCCTGCTCCCATCCGTCGTCGGAAGCCACTGCCTTGGCCCGGCCGTCTCCCCCTCCCCCCCCCCCCCCCCCCCCCAGGACACACCAAACTGGTCGTATGGCTACTTTGCTGCATATTTATGGGTCAGCACCACTACTAATTGGTATGTAAGGTATATATTTGACACCTGTACCAGTACCCTTTTCCGAAGTATGTTCACTCACACACCGACGCAGAAAGAAAATCGGGAAACAGCTTTCATTTGACGCGAATTGGTCCAACCGACATTCAATTGTTCTTCATTTAACTCAGCCGATTGATATGCTTTTACATGTACGCGGTGGCGAAGCCAGAGCCTTGCCAACGGCGGGGGCATAGGGCTGACGAAAGCCGGTCTGACAGTGCCCCCCCCCCCCGCCGCTCAAAGCAAAAGTCACCGGATATAGTTTACTTGTTAACAGGAACACAGTTTTCTTTGTTTATCGTAGTCAATACCTTGTTCCCAGAGCAGAAACAGAAACCGGAAGCTACCGCGAGATCAATCCTGTTTGTATTTTGAGGTCAATAAACTGCAGACATCAAGCGTTGAACGACCGCATAGAACAAACCACCGGCCCTCTCAATTTACAATTTTTCAGTGAACTCTTTCGGAACCGATGAAATTTAGAAGCTTTGTCAGAATTTATCTCGATTTCACAGACATATTAGGGACGCCGCGAATATGGAGTGCAGATCAAAATAAGTAAACAATGTGTATTAACATGGCCAAAACATGTTTGGCTGAGTTTGTTTAACATTCAGGCAGAGACGATTAGCCATACAAGTCATGCAACGCAGTTTTAAACTTGCGCGCTCGCAAATCTTAACAAAAAACCTCGACGACAGGTGCTGCAGTCTCCATAGGCCACGCAGTTTCGAGCCAGCGGCTAACACTAGGCCGTGACCAACGGGTGGACAAAAATATTGACGCTTCTGAAGGAAGTACCTTGGAGCACTCCAATCGATCAGTGATACAAATAATGTAACATATTTTTGAAGACGCGCGCTCGCAAATCTATGTAACAAAAATTTCGACGCCAGACGTTGCAGTCTCCAGAGACAGCACAGTTTCGGTCCAGCGCTTAACACCGAGCCGTGGCCAACAAGTGGACGAAAATGATGTCGCTTCTGGAAGAAATGCCTTTGAACGCTTTAGGACATGGAATCTTACATTCAGAAGGAAGTCTAGGCGTAGATTTCACCCGTGCGATTTTTAGATTGATGCTAAGAAATGAGTGCCCTTACAGCACTGCGAAGTGGTGCTGGAATGTGGTGGAGGAATTGGAAGTCTAAGGTTAGAATCACCATTTTTCTTGTTGCTGTAACTGCGGATTTGTCCTCTGAACAGATTGACATGGCGCCCGCCGCCTGGTATCACTCGCATTGGCCAACGCCATTCGGTTTTACGGAAGCTGGAACCCATGCCATCGCTGTCATTGCTCTCGATATTGCGGGCGCGCAAGCTTAAATATTTTTTACGTAAGTTGTTTCACTAGTCGGCTCTGCAAAATAATTGACGTTCTCAGGCAAACTTGGGATGGCCTGGCTCGTTTCTTTAACTTACTTCGACCCACTCTTTTTGACAATGATGAGACCCTATTTCCCTTCGGGCAAGGGGCCCCTTACGTGGAACACCAGAGACCTCAGCTCCCGGTGGAGGGCTAAAGGGCCATTCGGTCGCATCGCAAGGTGTTTCACGCCTGCTATTCTGGTAACACGGGACAGGATCCTCCGGTGGATCCGGAGGCCCTTAGAGGGATACATCATGTCACATATTGTTTCCCTCTCTGATGCGGGAGGCTTTCTGACCCACGCAGCTGGCCCCGGATCAATGCAGGACCTCTCATTGGAGCAGCGACATCCCTGATCGCCGCATATCGTTCAATAACTGTCACATATATTCCAGCTTCAGGTGCATTTTTGTCTTCTTAAGAGGTATTGGGGACCCCCTGAACGTAGATTGTAGATCTAAATGGAATCCCAAATTTGTATTGACATGACAAACCTATGCTCGTCTTAAGCCGTTACGCATTTAGCCTCAATTGATTAATGAGAACAATTATGTAACATCGTTTTGAGCATACACGCTCACAAATCTTGGAAAAAACAGACTCGACTCCCAGCGTTGCAGTTTCCAAAGGTCCCACGGCGTCGGTCACACGGCTGTGACATCAAACGACGACCAATGGGCAAACGAAAAAGATGACGCATCTTGAGGAAGATGGCTGGTGAACTAAGTCATTCGGCATGTAAGTTTGTGGTAGTAGAAAAATAAACTAAACGCAATTTAAATCTGGAAAAGTGGGGGAAGTTAACATTGCAGCCCCGCACCTTTCAGAGTGGGGGGGGGGGGGGCATGGTCCCCGGGCTCCCCTGTTTCTACACCCATGGATCATGCAGTTACGTAACCAAAGTACTTTGTGTACATGCGTGGTATGACGAATGTATAAATTTTGTTTTTGTATTCTATGCACAATATTTTACGGGCGAATGTTTGTGCTTACCCAACTTTCAATGTAATGTGTGAATTTTTTTTATCTGGACAAAGCTGAGACCAGTGCACATTCTTGCAAAATGCAGCATAGTGTTTCAAAGTGGAAGAAATGCTAGGATGGTGTTGACTGCTTTTTGTACTGAAAATGTGACCGTTGCAACGCAGGGGTCAGTTTCGTCTTACACCATGTTTCGCTAGACAATATGAGAGATAGTGCATGCAGGCTATCACTAGCGATGGTACACAGAGGTCGCCAATCACCATGCCTTCGATTGGTATATAAGCCGAGAACCCGGAGCGCATTAGGCTTTTCTTTAAGAGAATGTTTCACATCTGAAGATATTGAAGCAAGCACCAGATATGATGAAGCAGGCTCACTGATGGCTATCGATGGAAAAAACTTGTGTTTTTCAGCGGGAAAAGACTGTTCTACACAAAACAAGTTGCTTCTTGGTAAATGGTAGGCTTATTATCCGTTAATTATATTGTTACGAATTTTATTACTTACATAAAAGTCAATTATCATCAATCTTAAAAATGGTGTTTTAATCTTGCTAAATCAAGCTACAACACGTCATGGCTTGATTACGTCATCGTACCTTACATAATTTTAATTGAGAGCCAATTGACAGTCGTTATATCTGAAAATCGCGTTCATGAACACCACATATGAGCACATCGACAATTATATTGTTCTTTGCCTTGATCACCACACAGGTTACGGAATGACAAGATTTGTATGACGTTATTATCACGTCATGCAGACCAAGGTGACATGGATATACTCTTCCCTACATAGATTTTCCTATTTTCCCGGACGTGTGGCTCAGAAATTAGATAGGCTTAGGCCTTAAGTAGGGCAGGATCGTGAACAGCACCGAAAGGTCTCCAAAATGTTTTTCAGTTTGAACTCCCATATAAATGTGGAACACTCCCTTAACACGCGCCGGGTAGCCGGTACGATGCCCTTCGCTCGGCCTCGGGGTCAATTCAGCTCCCCTTGAGATCTCAGGAACTAAGAGAGCTGGGAACACCAAATTTACAGGGTATATTGACCTGAACCCGAGCTCACTTAGGGCAAAGTTTGAGGTTCCTAGATCATGACCTTCGGTTCAAATAAGGTAAAACAAGGTCAATCTCCAGGTTGGTGTCCAAAGTGCCCCCCCCGAACCCAGATGCTAGGTCACATGATCATTTAAAATCAGTGACCTTGTTTGACCTTTCAAAGGTCATGGTGACCAAAATCATGCAAGACTGCTTTGAGTTTTGTGTTTGAATAAGCGACAACGATTACGCTTGGCAGTATGTTCCTAAAAAAAATATTGACCTGGGTTATTTTAAGCCAGTGACCTATTCTGACTTTTGAAAAAAGCATAGAAGATGTATCATGCGGTGCCTGCCTTCAATAAATTCGAAATGAGCACCAAAAACTAGCCAAAAAAGTAAACACTACAGCAATAAAACAGATTGACTTTGACGTTGGTCTAACCTTTAAAACTGACGTTAGGTCAGTTTTAGGAATTTGTTCATTCAATTATTGCATTGCCTAAAAAAGTATCTCAGAGATGTATGGTCTGATCTAGCACTCCGCCGTTGCATCAGGTTAAACGATTCCCTAGATATTGACTTCACAGAATCCATGGCCTTACTTTGACCTGTCGTAGGTCAGTTAACTTACAAGGTTGATCTAAATTTTTAATGCCAAACAATCTGCTATTCAACTGTATACAGATAAGCAAAATTCAGCGAGGCTGTGCCGCGCAGTTCAAAAACTTTTCTGTAAAACCTTTGGGAGAAGGGTCAATTTGACCCCCATCCAAGCGCGTGTTAAGATATGTGAGTTAGTACATTCTATCCCGATTTTCCTCAATTAGACCCAGAACAAAGTCTGTCTTCCTTCTTTGCCTCAATATCCCTGGATCCCTGCTTAAAGAGCGTAAAGAATTATAACCATAACCTTCGTCCGAGACTGAATACATCAACGTAATCGCGGGACCCGGTTTAGGCAACATTGCATAAGTCACGCACGACTAGAAATGGCTAGATATCCGTTACGATGAACGGCGATGCATACTTGCAATTTTTATTCATCTGATGCTAAGTGCGAGTCATGAAAATGGTTTGGCTTAGTAGCCTTTATTTCAGGTATCCCTTAGCAATGTGGTGTACTGGGTGCTAGGACGTGAAAACCTGAATTCCCAGAACGTTCGTGGGCTTCGGGCAATTCTCGTGATGTCTGATGATTATGGCATGTAGTTTTCTAGCTCAACGCTCGGCATGATTTATCGTGAGCTTCCAACTTAATCGCTCGTTTTTCGCGCAGCCCTTAGCGTAGAACTGTGTGTGGGGTGTTGGGACGTGGGAACTTGGATGACGTGTGATTTTGGGCATCTTTTGGCATAGTGTCTACGCATATTTGGGTCATTGTCTGAATTCACGTATCTTGGTTTCTAAGAGTCAAACTGTTTGCTTAAATTTGCTCAACCTTTTTCGCTCGAGATGATAACTGCAGATTGAAACGTCAATTACTGCCCATATGCCCAATGCTTGTTCTGTAACGTCATTTAACCAGTATCTTCTGGTATATTAAAGGTAAAAAACTCAGCAAAAGAACTTGAGTTCGTAATGCCGAAAAACCAGAGATCGTAGGCGTTTCTTGCTAATATACTTTTGTTTTACAACGTGCGCAACACTGTCTTTCAATCCCAATGGTCAGGAAAATCACTGTCTCATCACAAAACATTCTAAAGCTATGAAACCCCAAAGTTTGCCCAGATTTGTAATCACCTGTTTCAGTATCCGCCACTTAAATAGTCTTGAGATGGAAACGCCAAACAATGCAGGAAAATAAAAAGCCGTTTTAAAATGAAGAAGCCAGCTCCAATGTACTGCGCACTGTTGGGCCCGTACGGGCGCCACTGATGTTTGCCATGTTTTTTCAGTCAAAAAGGTAGCTCTGACTGCAGCCCCCGTGTAGGACCAACTTCGTGCAAGCCAGTATAAACGATTTCCTCATCGCAGGAGCCGATTCCAACTGCACACCCAAGACTTGATATGTAATTCACATCGATTTCCCCAATGTGCATTATCGAAATAAATTCTGGAGAACAGTAATAGCTTCTGCATAATACTATTACGCATACTGAACTGAAAAGACATTACTTCTAGTTTAATATATTGACAGCAGTGTACAAATTAAGCTCGCTGACATAAGTGTCACTGTTTCGCTGCAAACTGTGATGCATCATGCCGTGTCAATATCGCTTAATGTACGCGTCAGATGCTTGAAGTTCTCGGCAAATCTACCCTAAATCGAGCCTGCCTCTAAAACGACGTCTAACAACGTCCACGATGAAAGTGCCACATGTATATACGTTCTCGCTGCCCAGCAGTGCTTAGCGTCTACTGGCCCTTCTTGCGCCACTGGGCTAGCCGAGGAACGGCGTGGTAATTACATTAGAAAGCGCTACTATGTTAGAAACACACAGGGGAATCAGTGGAAATAGGGCGTATACAATTACCAGCAACTAAGGAAATACTGCTATAACAATGTATTATTCTTTGCTCTTTGAATATTGTTACCAATCACCAAAATGCATATACGGGGTAACAGACGGGTACGAAAAATCATCGCTTTTGTTTGCTAGTAATGTTTCGACATTACTAGGGCGTAATGTCGAAACGCATCACTTTTCATACGCAACAGGAACAGATTAAACGGCGTCTTCCTCGACTTCTTCTTTCAGCTGAGACTTGACAGGGTCGTTCGGCTGCGTCTTGGCAAACGGCTGGATGTCCGACTTCCAGAACAAGCTCAGGTAGATGCTGCTGAAGAGGTGGAGCGCCACAGATATGGATACGAACCGCAACCATTCGTTGCGAGTGTCCTGTAAAAGGTAGTGTCTGTGATGACGGGAGGCGTACTCATGTGGTGTTCAAAATCGGTGTCAATTTATGATGGTAGCGGAGATGTTCCTGTGTATCTAAGCTTGGCCTTGTGCATAACTGGACGAATGAGGTGATAATTGAGGTTTTCTTGAATGTCTGCTTAGTCTTGAGCAATAGGCAATTCACACTGCACGATGCTAACGTGCCGGTTGCAATTCTTACTTAATGTTATGTTTGGATCCGGAATACATTTGTGAGACAAAAACTATATCGCAGTTCAATTCCAAGATGTTTTCGTTTTTGCAATCTTAATCTAAATTGCAACCATTTATCACAGCTAGTTTTTTTATTCATATTGGAAATTTTTAACCTCGAAACCATTGGTTAAGCATGCATTGTGCTACTGGCTCGATTTCTCGACCAGATGTTTAATCCTTCTTGTCATTCTGAGAACACACAACTGCTTGATTGCTGCGTTTCCGGTTTCCGGTTCCGGTAGCAAGGGCCTCCAATTAAAATGCATTCTTTTTCCATCTGGACACCCGACAAAGGAAAAATCACTCGATCGATTTTCGGTCCCGTTTTGAAATTCATCGAATACCAAAGAGTATATTTGATTTCGGTAGTAAGGACTTGGAGCACATGGAAGTTCTGAAACGGGCCAAGAAGAACAACACCCCAAGCTTGAAAGGCTCGCCCACCATAAGTGTGTACCGGCAGGTGGAGGTAGGGCTCACGGGGCTGAGAAACCGCTCTCACAACTACGCTTTTTGTGAGAACAGAAAAGACCATATGAGCACCAGGAATCAGTCGCAACATCTGTCAGATGTGACCAAGGGAACACAGCTGAGTCAACTTATTCAACAAGTTACGCTTCGTCGCTTTTAGAAATGATTGTGTGCAGAACATTTCACAACGTAGTAAAGCATCGCAAAAAGAATGGATAACTGGACAGCAAGTTTCTTTTTCAATCCCGTTGCTGGCCATCAAGTGATTTGTCATGCAGCCTCTCACGAAGCCAAACTGATTTTCGGCGTCAATTTAAAGCGGCGGTGATCGTCACATAACCAGTAACAATCCAGGAATAGATATCCCCAAGTATTCTGCTAGTTATTTTGAAAGCGCGTTTTAACCAATTTCACCCTTACGGCTTCTTCATTATGTCACAATCTGGCTTTAAGTTTAACAATATAATGAGGCTTTTCATTGTTTCCTTTTAGAATCTTACCTTATTAAAAAAACATTTTGGGGGGAGTTTCACGAGGTGGTCTACCACGTGCCAAATTATACAACCTTTGGAAGGACATAAAGTGCTAGAACGTGCGCACAGGACACCGGCACACCCACGCACATCGTCATCAAATACGCACATAACAGTTCTGAGTTTCGCTCCATGCTACACAGGGCATGCCATCCATTGACGCAAGGCGGGTGAGAGAAGTAATGACTTTCTAGCTATTTCTTTTTATGGAGTGCAGCACGTGCGTTTTAACTTACGCGAAGGACGGGGGGGGGGGGGGCAGTTGCCCCTCCGTCTGACATAGTGACGGAGCCCGCGCTCGCACCGTGGTTTCCACCGCTCGTGACGCGACAAATCACATGAGCGATGGGCGACGACAGCTCACAGAACTATCACAGGACGTGATGAGCACCGCCGGGCAAACGGGGCGGCAGCAGAATCACACCTGGCAGGCTTACCTCTGGCGTCATGGCGGCCAGCAACGGCGGGATGGCGAAGCCGGGCACGTTGCCGACGCAGGCCGCCATGGAGAAGATGGTGCCCGTGTACTGGGGCCCGATGTCGGCAGCCCCACTGAACGGTCCTGGCGGCGGAGGGCGCAGTGGCGTGACGCCGGAGGGCGCAGTGACGTGACGCTGGAGGGTGCACCGTGACGTGACGCTGGAGGGCACACCGTCACGTGACGCTGGAGGCGCGGTGCGGCGACGCGCGCCATGCCGAAACGTGGGCGCAACCACACGCCAGCTGCTACTGGGGCCTCAAACGAAATCCACTGAAACACGAGGGTCTTCAAAGCTATTTTGAATGGGAAAACAGCGACGGCATGAACCTCGCCATACGTGGCTGGGTTAGGGAGGTCGCGCGTAACCTTGTGGTAGTTACACCCATGCGCAGATGGGATAACCTGGGGGTCGCATCTGAATTGAAACTGGGTGTTTATCTGTGACATCTCCGAAGCCTCCATCCACCTGAAGTTTCAACACGTAGCGTTCGTGACTTTTGTTAACCGTTAAATTGATCTTTGACATGCTATGCAGTTGGAGCGCTGCGAGCAGAAGAACACTTGTTACACAGTCGTCACGTCACGGTCACGGTAACCAGCTGGTTCCCGCCATGTGAGAATGCGAGGTGAGTGAATGGAGAGGAGTCAGAATGAGAAGTTATCGTTACCGCGACTTGCTGACGACCGGCACGCGTTGTGACGGTCTGCCATAGTTTTTTTTTTTTGCTGACCAGTTTTTCAACGACGGCATAGAAATCTATGGATATAGTGAGAACAAAACAAACGCACCATCAAACCGGCTGGGCAAGCGTGCGACTACGTGCATCATTTATGCTGCGGCACCTCCCATGTCAAAGGTCACGGGCGAACGTGAAAGGCAAGCTCGAACGCATTGGCCCCAGCCTCGAGTCGTTGAAAACATGCATTGATATCTCTCAGAGCTCCGGCCCGTCGACCTCAGGGGTCAAGGTCGGCAGGCGCGGGGCGATCGGTCCCAATCAATTTCACGGAGGGCCTCTCATCCTCTCGCGCCCGAATCTCCCTGTTCACAGATGGCGCTAGGCGTCGGTCGCTGCCTCGGCCGACAGGTGTCGCTGCGAGCGGGTCGGGCGTGTGGTCGGCGTTACCTCCCGTGAAGACGCAGGCGGTGAGGCCGATGCCGAGCACCAGACACACGACGGCGGCCGTCCGCTGCTCGAACGGGATCAGTACCGACGCCAGCAGCAGGAACGCCGGCACGAAATTACCTGGAGAGAGGCCAGGACGGGCCGTCGGGGTCCGTTGCTCGGCGGGAACACAACTTGTCACATCCTTAATGTGAAAAGAGCTTGCACCGCTTTCCAACGGCTTTGTAAGCAGCAATTCATCAGTGCACTTTTTTATCTATATCACCTAAGGGAAATGTCAATTTGTGTTCTCGCTGATGCGTCGGTTATCGTGTATTAACGTTTACCAATCACCTATTTACACAGCTGTGCTGTCCGGTCAAAACCGGGTCACTAACGGTAAAACCACATGGAATGCATTAGCGATACACGATCTTCCATCCTTACAGTGCAAATTGAACTTGATGCTCGTGCGATATATTATCGTTTGTGGCAATTAACTGAAAAACACGTACTGAAGAAGTTAAACGATTTCCGCAGGCGTGTTTTGGATATTTTCTTCTCTACATGGAGGAAGGTGAAGAGTCTGCCGGTGAAGATGGACAGAGCAGCCAGCAGAAGGGAGGGAGCGGCTGATATAGCCCCATTCTGAAAAAAACGATTGTCTCATGCTCCACATTCCACTGACAGAATAACAGTCAACACGAATATTGCATGCATATAGAGCAACATGCATTTCCGGTGAGAAAAACCCCACGTAACTACACGACCTTCGCTCCAGCTTGAAGTCGGCATAAAACTGACGCCGTGTTAAACCCGTTAAGGGACACTGAAATTTTATGTCATTTTCAATGCTTGTTTACATATTCAAGTTTGTATTTAACAGGGATCAACATTTTGTGGACACTTACATATTGCGACAATCAAAGGTACCTTTTACAAAAAGAACAAGCAAACAGCATGCGAGATGGCTATGCCGAATACACAAAGGCGCTATATATATATATATATATATATATATATATATATATATATATATATATATACATATATATATATACATATATGCATATGTATAATGATATTGAAGTTGGCGGCTCATTCGCAAGGGTAGCATACATACAGCGCAGATACGTATATTTTGGGAGCATAGATATATCACAAAAAATGTGCACAGACGATTGGTGGACTGAGTGCTGTAAAACGGCATGTCTTACGCTGGAGAGGTCAAATTTCATGAAGGTCTCCATGAAGCGAGGGCATGGCGATTGTCGAGGCATAGTAGTTCCACAAGCCGATAAAGAACGCTATGGCCACATTCCACACTTGGAAGTTTGTGAAGATCTTGACAAACGGGACGGCGGTGACCTGGAAAAATGAACATCAGCGGTTATTCAGTCCCCAAGAGTGGCTTGCCTCATTTTAACTGTGCTCTTCGATGAAAACATCTGCGTATCAGTTTCTGGCATCTTGCAAAGCTAACTGACCCGACATTGCAAAATGGATCGAAGAGGCTGCGACACCCATGGCCACCAAGCGCTGAAGAAAAATAAAGCCGATCATTACAAAACTGTTCATCACAAAAGTTCTAACTGGGCCATTTCATGCGCTTCCAGGAGGAATGATGTGCCAGCATTACCCACTCCACCCATTTACAATAAGGTCACTATGAGACAATCGTTTGAATCGTTGATGTGAAAGTCCCGGGCACGCACGAGTAGCAAACGCGCTCGTGCTATTTTTGCATTGCATACCCTAACGGACGTGTAAAGTTAGCTGCTTAACTGTTACATCATCCAGGTTTCCACGAGATGCTTCTTTGCTTTGTAAGGCATTGCGAGCCCATCATGGTCGTCATTCACAACCCATCGCAACTTTGAGATGATCATTAACATTTCATTAATGCAGCCATGATCACTGCATTCAAAAGAACATGCCCATGCTCATGAGAAATGACACACCTCATCGACCGTGAACAAAACGTGGTCGTAACCAACTTTCGCTCCCACCCGTGAAGATGGCGAGCATCCAGAGTGAGCTACTTTACCTTTTTGGTCTCCCCTGCGGCTGCCTGACAGCGCTGGAAGCTCTCCTTCTCCTCTCCGCGGAGCCACCGCTCTTCCAGGGGATCGTTTTGATCAGGAACGCCGATAACACCATCCACGCCATTGATATGATGCCTGTGGGATGCATGATTGGAACAGTGGAAAATCTGTTCGACGTACTATGCTGGCCCAGTGTCTCTCACTGTGCAGCATTTGAGATGTCGGTGGAAAAATGCAACATGAGGATGTGTACGAATACCGACAAAAATATCCTAAAGACGCACGGGGAATAATCGCTGACCTACGTAGACGACGTAGACGTACGTGTTAATAATAGCCCTCTTGAAGATCAAGATCATGGAACTGAGGATTGAGGGCGTGGAACCTGATTCGAGATAAAACTATGAATAGTTTCTGACACATGACTAGCACATGATATGCAGATTCGCGCTGTCTCCATGCGCGTCTGGCCTGATGCGTGAAAAAAAAAACGTTATCTGGTTCCTAATTGTGGTGTCGCTTTTCGCGTCTGGGTCGCTGGGAGGCTGCTTCGATCAGCGGGAATCGCCCGTATGGTTGAGGCCCTCCTTAAACGGCGGGCGGCTGGGCAACGGAAGTCACGTGATCCCGAAGTGGGGTCGGCTGAAGGTTCCAGAATAATAGGTCACGTCGGGGTCGGGCAACTACCACGCGGTCATTCTGACCTGGGGGCGGGGCGGGTGGTTGGTGCCTGTGTGGCTGGTGCCTGTGTGGCTAAAGCCCGTGTGGCTGGTGCCTGTGTGGCTAAAGCCTGTGGTGCCTGTGTGGCTAAAGCCTGTGTGGCTGGTGCCTGTGCGGCGTTTAACTTGCATTGATAGACTCAGGCGGGGACGATTATTTGGAGACTATACTTTAATACAGGTATTGAGCAGACGAAACTGCAGCTGAACTATAGAAGACGCCACACTGACGAGCTGGATTACCCTTTCTTTATGTGGGGGCGTGGATTTGCCTTCCAAACCGCGAGAGCTGGCCCTATGGAACTTAACGAGGATTCCTAGAAATGACTTCACATAACCTGCCGGGTTTTCAGCTCCTTGTGCTGTCCAGAGGCGACTGCACAAACGATTTTGAAGGCATGTCGGGAGTTGCACCGGGTGAGGATGCGACTTTTGGCAGATATATCGGGAGAACTGAACAAGCATTGGTTTTGTGCTTGGTTGCTAAGGAAATATGATTTCAGTGTGCATATATATATATATATATATATATATATATATATATATATATATACACAAACATATATATATATATATATGTATATATATATATGCATATGTATTTACATATATACACATCTAAATGTATACATACATATATATATATATATATATATATATATATATATATATATATATATATATATACATATATATATATATATATATATATATATAGATCTCACGCGAGGGTTTGATCCGATCCCATGTTCTACCTCGATCATCAATGCTCTTCAAAAATGACACCGGGGCCGACTTAGCTTCATAATGGCCATGTGAGCCCAGGATATTTTGAAAAATCAGAGGGCTTTACTGACCCCGCATATAATTCAAGCCGATTTTACCGCATGACAACGCATACATTCATCCATGGCCCATAAACCAAGCTGTCCACCGGGTGGAGACCTGTCTGCGCCCGGTACCTGGAAAAGTTGCATACAGCGCCACTGTGACACCTGAAATTCTTAACTCAAGGCCTCGGGCATTGCGTTCATTTGTCACCAGTCTGTGCCCTCTCTAACCTGACACTGATCATCTAACCTGACACTGACCATGCTCTGAGACGCCTGTAACATTACCATGGCGCCGGCCGTCTGACCTGACACGTAGAAGACGCCGGGCCAGCTCCAGCTGGACTGGCAGAGGGCGCTGCCCAGTGGGAAGCTGACCGCCGTGCCGAGGTAGAAGCCGGACCACGCGATGGCGAACACGCTGGTGTACTCGCCGGGCAGCGACCAGAGCCGTGACAGCGCCGGCACCGACGGGATGATCAGACACTGGCGGGGAGGCGGCCGGCCGGCGGAGCAACGGGCGGGTCAAGCTCACGGAGAGATCAGTGGGGAGGGGTAGAGCGCAAGGCGTGCGGGCAAGAGAGCTGGTCCTGACCCCAGCAGGACTCTGACTCGGGCTTTCACGTTTAAGTACTCACACTCGGATCAAGCGATGCATGCAGCAGATTAATCTTGCAACGGTAGTGTGAGGGCCCAGTGCATCGATTCTAACAACTTCGCACGCATTCAACAAAACGGTAAACTCAACTTCGGATTTTAAGTGGAAGCGCCAGGACTCGGGCTCGAGCCCTAACCAAAACGTTTCAGGAGCCCGCGATTCAGACTAGGTTGAGAAGCTCATTTCGATGTCAACTGTAATGGAATGATGCCTTTTAACGGAAAGAACGGGATACAAGTAAGTTCGGCACCGAGGATACCGTGGGCCATACGCGCAGCCAATAGGCTGCGCTGGTTTGTGCTAGCCAGGGTTAATAAGGTTAGTTTCAGTTGGGTTTGGTTAGGTTTGCCTGAAATGAGCCACTTTTGGGTCAAGTGGCGCGACGCTTCAGGTGGGTTGAGCCCATCAAAGATATTTGTTGAGTAAAACTTGAAGAAAGCTGGTGCATCCTCTTCGCGTCTTTGTTTTAGCAATGGTTAAGGACATTTTTTAGCAAAAGGTGCAGAAAGCTAATTCGCCCTTTTCGCATCCTTGTTTTCAGAAATGGGCTTTCATTGTATCATTTAGTACTTATGCACGTCACTGGAACTCCCATCCGGAATAGAAGCGAGCACCAAGTGATACCTCCATGTTAGGAGCATTTCGATATGGTTATGCCTAAAACGCCATCGTAGCAGACAAAACAGAACCAAGCTTTTTGGCATCCCGTTGACATGGACCGCTAAGTTTTAAAAAGTCTATGGGTATCACCTACAATTTGATAACTTCGGGTTCGGTTACGGTAAAGTTCAAGTGAAGTTAGGTCACATGTACATTCACAATGTCAAATCGTTCAAGCTTGGTGGTCTCCACGAAGGCTATAAAAACACGAAGGTAGAACCAAGGTTACAGAAACAATATATATATATATATATATATATATATATCCAGCCATATAGTTTCTGTAGCCATATATATGGTATACGAAGAACGCTCCTGCCTCCACAAATGTAGAGACCATGGTTTTGGGAGCAGCCGCGAATTCGGGCATTATAGGCGTGCTGAAAATAGTCAGAAGTCATGCCGGCACAAAATTAAACCCAGTTCAAATGGCAGTGCACCCCAGAATATACATCGTAGTAGTGTGATGTCGGCTCTGGTCTGTGTTGCGCCATATTCTACAATCCTAAAATGCAAAAGAGATAATTGTAAGCGTGTTCACGCGTACATTTTGGGAGGCCGTATCGGCAAGCACATTTTACGCATAAATGTTGCTATCCAAAACGAATGGTTTTCATGTAATGGCTCATCATTTGTTTACAGCCAATGTGATGTGCGGCAATGCAAATTACCGTTTTGTCAACAAGATCTGCACATGGGGAAAAGGAGCGTGGCATGAAGAATATTCAGGAAACAAGAATGCAGGAATGCGCATGCTTCCAGTGTCGGTCAACCTGTGCTGATGCATGTTGCAAATAAAGCGCCGAGGCGAACAAAAATTAGGAGTTGCAATATCGACGCCAAGTGCGTGGGCTCAGAACGGGAGGGTGGGCGTGTAATTGCACGACATGTCGGCATATAAATCCAATCAAGCTCGTATGTACGTTCACAAAGTTGCTGGTGCACGCAAACCGTAACAAATTTCCAATGCTGCATTTAGCATGCCAAGTGGTCTCTTGAAATACAGCTGAAGTAAGAGCATTCAGTGTCTGAAAAAATAATCGCCACACATGTAGGTGAAATATAGCACGATCTGTTCATCTTCTCTTGGCGTCGTTCTTTTGCCAGCGGTGTGCCGATTTTCTCTTCCAAATTTTGAAAGCTTCTAGCGCATGCGGACTGTTAAAGGCGGAAATCTACCTAATGCTGTGCTAGCATTACGATGTTTTCACAATGTTCCAGCGCAAGACAAATCGGAACAGTTGTATTGTTTGGAATGCTGGTGATTTTTTAGGGTAAATCATTTATCTTTTAAATCAGCACCCACGAGCAAGGACTATTCAAGTCGATATCGACCAATAATAGATCGGCTTAACATTGTGAAGAATGCGATGGCTTATGATGGCATAATACGGCCAAGGAATACTAGGCCGTAAGAAGTCACTTGTTTCAGAAGTACCTGATCATGGTTTGTAGTCTGAATCATTGCCTCCTTTGGCTCACTTGAAATATGAAATGCAACGTTTGATATTGCTGCTAAATGTGTACTCGGATTTATCCTTACATATTCATTCTGGTTTCTGATTCCCACCGAGACTGAATTAGTTCAAGACTGAGTCATTCGGAGCATGCTCTTGCCACTTTGTTGTTGCGGGCTGCAATAGGTAAGCATATTCAGTTAAAACCACTCAACTTTAAGCAGCTTGACCTTACTTACAGGTCTTAGGTCACCGTGGATGCAGCATATATGTATCTGTTGCATGGCTTGATACGGAGTCGGAGACATGTTGGCGCCCAGCTCAAAACGTGACGCCTCAGGCAACTTGTCCATCGCGTTCGTGGTGGTGCACTGCGCAGGTGCTCTCACGCGGGGGGGGGGGCGGGGGGGGGCTCGCACCAACATCAGTGAGAAGACAGCAGCTCTGTCAAAGGGTTGGCGGGCAGAAAGGGTAGCTGGCCAGTGGTAGCTCTTGCTAGCGTCGATACCAATAGGCTTCCACTTCGGGATCGAAGAGCAGCTCCTGCAGGCCATCGGCGGTCGGAAGCGACAGAAACGGAGCCGCGTCCCAGGGCTAGGGGCTCTCGCCACGTGGGGTGAGCCGGACGGCCACGTCGTCCGACGCCATGTAACTAGCGCCAGGAACATGAAACCAGGTGGGCGACGTCCCATGGCGCATGGACACCCGCAGCAGCTGCGCGGACACGGGCACCCGCAGCAGCTGCGGGTGTCCATGTCCGCGGCTACGGGCCGAGCTGCTTGGCCCGAAGCCGCGGACATGCTTGGCGGCTCCGGGATTACGACGCCGTTGACGAGCGGGACGACGCCCATTTGTGGGTGCAAATCCAGGTAGGTCTGGAGCCAGCAGCAACCCACCCCGGGCCACACATGGCCGTTACTGAAAAAGTAACGGCCACACATGACCGTTACTTTTTCGTTATGCTGAAGACACCTACCGGAGCGCAGCCCCTGGAAACAGCTCTGCACCTGACAATCTATAATAAAACTAACTCTTTCTTGTTTCATCTCGTGGGAAACTGAAATTCCTTCCCGAGAGCAGAGGTTTTGGGCTGCAAATTCTTGAGAAGGGAGAAGAGAATTCTTCCGAATAGCCGATTTCTTAGGACTCCACCTAGAGGCAAACTCACGATCGGAGAACGTTTTCACTCAAAAGGGCAAACTCAGGACTCCGACATAAACTCAAGACACCACAACGCAGATTAGAACCCAGGTTATTGGACTCGGACTCGTAAATGACAACGAGACAGAGCCATTCCTACCGGCGGCCGGCTTTGCTTGGCATTTAGTTCTCGGACTGTACCTCTTCTAGCGTTTCCAAGAAAATAACAAGCTCAAGCCTTGAACTTTGTGTCGCCCTATTCTTTGCACGCCCTGGCGACCCGAAATTTTACGCCGAACAGTATATCGCAGCTACCATGATATACGCAACTTGACAATGGCATTCCAACGACGTACGGAAAGGTCACCGGCTGAGTTAATTCCAACACGCTTCTTCGTGACGCCGCTTCCAAGTACAGGACGGGTGGGTGTGCCGGAAAAGCCGCGGTCGCCCCAGCTGCTTACATTTGTGGCGCCGAGCACGGCCCGAGCGGCGATCAGCAGGCCGCCGTGCAGCCGGGTGAGGACGGGTATCACAAGGCAGGTTACTCCCGCCACCAGCATTCCAATCTGCAGCATGTACTGCGCGCCGAACCTGAAAACGTGCCCGAGTCTGTGTTACCTGGAGCTGTGCGGTTCGTGACGTCGTCGCGCTGCTGCACACGTGCTTCACTGACAGGGGTATTAGCAAGGTGCAGCGTAGTTTCTCAGTTTATTTTTAGCTAACGTAATGTAATGAGAAGATAAATAGCACAAAAACATGAGCTCAAAGTGAGTTTAGGCAGGGGCGGCAGGGGCACAGCCATAATTTTTGTTAGGGGGGGGGGGGCAAGGGGAGGGACTCACTGAGAACATACTACACTGACTTCTTACTTCCTGTCAGGAATCTAGCTCTGAAGCCGCCCGGCCGCCTTCCTCCCTTCCCCCTAGACTGCGTCTCTCAGCTTTTGTGCCGCCATTTCGCAAACCAAGCCTGCTATACCTATCTCCTTGTCTGAGCGAAGCTGACGTTTCCACACTGAGGCCATGTTTAAGGCAAAGTATTCCGGACTTGGGCCGTTTGAAGGCAACAGGCACCAGGATTAATATCGTCCCTCGCGGTGGCGTATCTGGACAGCATAACCGCAGATATTGGTGTCTAGTTCGAATGCCCTCTGAGACAAGGCCATCGGGTGAAAGTACTCTCACTACCAGGGCGATGCGGCTGATAGGGCTCACCTGTCCACCAGCCAGCCACCGGGCACAAGAAAAACGACGAACGCGTAGAAATAGGCGGACACGATCCAGCCCTGATACGATATGCTCCAGTCAAACTCGCCCTGTAAGGCATGGTAAACGTGACGTCAGACGTTCAACGACAACCGCTGTTCTCTATGATGCCAATCAACATCAATCAAGCATTGTTTCGCTCCACTGGAAATGAAGTGAGACGTTCATAGATGTCATAAAATGCCAACGTGCCGAAGCCAAAAACTAAATTGAACGATTCGGTAGAATGATCATGTTGTATTGCAGCATGATCATGGCCATAGCCCATTCGTGCATGGCCCAAAACCATTCTGTACCGGCTCTCCCAAGTGTTGGCAGAGCACGCCTGCGCGGCCTGGATCTGCATATCTAGCAGCTCAGGAAATGCCTCGCGCCGAGGCCACGCAATGCGCATAGGTAATTAACGCGCAGATCAGCGCCTGTCTCGAGGTCGCCGCACAGTGAACTCTCACGCACCGAGCCTCGTCCTTCTGTCGATGCAGTACGGACCGAAATCCTAACCCATTGGCAGGGTATGATTTCCAGTAGTGCACTCTTGGGGTTGATTCGACATGGTGACAGAGCTGTTCACCGACAAAGTCAGGAGGTAGTGTAAATACTCATGTGGCGTGGTGCCCCAATGGGATTTCCAGGTGAGCAACATGCAACTCTTGCAAAATGCTCAAACAGCTATTGCAAAGATGATTTTATCAACTACTCAGCACTCTCGTCAGTTATTGCAACACGTCGGCATTCGTGCACCAAACGTGTCTGGTACGCGACAGAACAGAAGGACGAAATGATACTCGAAAATCAGACCGTCAAGCATCGCATTGAAATGTTTTCAGTTAAAAGCATTTGCTCTAGTGCGAGAAAGGCTTTTGCCAGGAAACAATTCAGACAGTCAGGCCGTCCCCCAACAGAATGCGTCTCCTGCGACGAACAGATAAAATAAATCAGTTCAGGAATGATAATTCCACACGTCTAAACTAAATACAACCATGCGGTGACAATAAACGTGAGGCGTTTTGCCCATGCTCCTCTTTGTTTTATACATCACGTCCTAACAATCCAACTCGCACCGCTTTGCATGTGCCCCTGTTCGTTATCGGGAGCTCAGTCATTAGTGTTTATACTGAATCATTAGCTAAAATGCAGACCAAAGTGCGGGTGAAGTAACGGTGGGATTAGCTGCGAAGCCGAATCTCGTCTGCCCATGGTCTACCTACAGGCTTTGACTTCACATCTGTGCCGGTCAAGTTGCTGGTGTTGGTGCTGTCCGTTGGATCGCCCACCATACAGAGGAAGGCGGTACCAATGTTGAAGCGGATCATCAGCGAGATCAGCATGGCCAGCTGCAACATCACAGCAGTGACGAAGCGGAGCGATGGAAAGAAGCGAGCTGTGAATAGAAAGAAAAGACAAAGGCAGCTGGTTAATGGCACATTTGTGTTTTATCCCTTACATGCTAGAAAATCACGGTAGCGTTGCTTTCATTACGACGATGCTATTGTCTATGTCGTCGTGACCGAGGAATGAAAACATATATTTCTGCTGCTTTGGATTTGTTGCGAAAGAATATTCTGGAATTTTGGGGATTAATTATTCTGCTCATTCCAGAAATGATAGGAAAACAAATTATTTTATACAGACAAGGTTTTCCCATAAGCCTGACTCTTTCGGACTGGCACATTCAATGAAACATTTTTAGCTGAGAAACGGCGTTGGTTTGCAACAGAATCACAAAATTATTGCTGAAATGCGCTTCCAGCCTGTCCCCGACAGGCATACTGGGCAACCCATTCACCAGTAAGTTATTGCGAATAACTCTAACGGGAAGTGTTTGGACACGGTCTATGTAACACATACAACAACAGCAACAACAACATAGGGTGTGTATGAGCAACGGTGGGCCCAGACGGGGTTGCAGCGCCCTGAGACGAGCATTGAGAAGTTGGAATGCACATCCTGCAGCACATCCATGCACTATGATGTGCATAGAATTCACACCGCGTTGCCAGGGTTGATGCAGGGTCGACCTGCCCTTATCGGGGTGGTAAGCGGTAACCCCCAGGAGGCGTGAGTGCAGCGCACGCCATTTCAGGTCAAGACAGTGTTTTTCTGTAAGAATGGGCGATTTCTGGCATGTTTTGCAACTTCTGACAGTCAAAGAATTGTGGTCCATATCTCTGCCTGGAAATAGTCTTGGGGGATACAATAGGGTAGTCAGGGCATTATTTCCTGCACACCTTTTTCATCTAGCCCACCAAACATTATGAATCTGCCAGTTAACCAACGCCTAGAAAGATGATGGCCCAGCAACAGTGAAATCATTGCACCTGTCTTCCTCACATAACCTTATTTTCAAATTTCACTCAATGTAGATACTGCAGTACGAAAGATAAATGGCAATCATTGCCCACTTATAAATTTGATGCACACATAACGCATACAATTATTTATTTACATAGAAATATTTATTTCACAAAAGGCATTCCTATGAAATATTCAAGCCGTAGACTACATCGGATATGGCCGGGTGATGAGGCTAGAAAACGTGGTTTATTAGGCACATATAGATATATTATAGCACGATCTTGACCACCCTTACTTCGTATTCATCTTTTGCCAGCGGTGGGCCAATTTCCTTGTCCAAGTTTTGAAAAGTTCTGGCCTATTCAGACTACTATGAGGTTAAATCACCTAATGCAGCACTACCATTTTGATATATTCATTGTACTACAGCGGAAGACAAATTGCAAGAGGTATGATATTTGATACATACGATATAAAGGGTTCTAGCCAGTTATTGGGGTCAAACTATTTTATTTGGAATCAGCACCCAGAATCAGGGAATATTCAATCTGAAGTCAACCAATAATAAACCAGCTGAACATTCTTGTAAAGACGATGGGTTATGATGGTCTAGTGTTGTCAATGCATACTAGGCATAATAAGCCACACTTATTTGGAAACTAACTCATCCCGCTTCGCAATCTTAATCATAACCTCACTTCGCTCACTCGAAATACGAAATATAATGTTTAACATCGCCGCTAAATTTGCATTCGGATTTGTCCTGACAGATCTGCTATCAGCAGAAACGTGCTCTCATCCTTGCTTTCTGGTTCCCACTTTCCCTCATCAAAACAATGCCCTAAGACCCTGGATTTGGCTGGTTCTTTCATAATCACTGCTCTCTGGCTCCTGGACTCCATTGATTATTTTGTTAACTCGGGTCCCTGGCTCCGGGTTCTCAATATTTTTTTTTCTTAACTCAGCTTGCAGCTTCTCAGCTGCAATTGGTTTCTTACAAACACCACATCCTCGTTGATAATTTCCATCAATTTACTAAAAATCCGTTTGATCCCGACTCCTGTTTGTCATGGGCTCATTCGTAAAAAAACAGCCCGGGTTACCGTTGACAACGTTCTGCCATTTCAGTTACGTATGAAATCAAGGATGTCTTGCATATGTTATTCAACATTTAGATGTGCACAGTGTAAAAACATGGGCACATCAAGTGCGTACGTTCTGGTTTCTAACAGCACTTCCAGATGAGATCACCGTTCTAAAGTTGCTTTTGACTTAAGGTCACACCTTGGTTGTTGCAGGATCGCCTTTATATTTCCAGGCTGACTCTGGGTTCTTACAGGATCTCTGGCCATATTCTTGGCTAAGCATTTGCTTTTGCCGCATTCGTCGGCAAAATTCCAGCTGGGCCTTGTTTTTTGTTGTACCACTCTGCATACTTAACGCCGGGTCTTGGTTCTTAACGGCTCTGTGGGCTTAGTTTTGAGCTTTATTCTTTGTTTTTTGGTCCGCAAACTCAAATCAGTCGTGGACACTTGTTCTTGCTGGATCTCCGAATTGATTCCAAACTGGTTCCGTTTTTCTCGTTCCGGTGCCAGGAACTAGAAACGTCCTAAGCATGTATTTTTGCCAATATGCGTGATAATCAAGAAAAACATAAATGTTGTTCCGTTCACATCTGGCGTTCGTACACGCGATTTCCAGATACACCTAGCGATTGTCAGTTGGCTCACTTAACGTTGTGCAAGGTAAGATAACGCTTCCAAACAATGACGCATTCAGGAGCATATTAACTAAATATAGAAACTGTGTTATTTAGAGCAACCCTTTTTATTTAAAAAAAAACATACCAGTAGCTATAAGTGAGCTTATTTCATCATATCTGATGCTTGCTTGAGTATCTTCCAATGCGGAACATTTCTTTTGCTAAAGACAGCAACCCGGGCGGACCGAGCTTGCGAGCACGGGCGTTCAGCAATGCTGGCAAACATAAGGTGCTCCTTTAAAGGCAGTGCTCCACATTGTGTGGTGTTTTGAACAGAAATAGTCATCTTCAAGATCGTTCGGTGCAGTTCACAGCCCCGCATTTCTTATAATCTAAAACCCTCTAGCTTCTAAGCATACGTGCATGGAGATGCGCAGACTTTTTCGTGCAGACTATTTCAAAGTTTCCCATCCATACATGACGGCGCTGGTATGTAGGATTTCCAGATATAAAGGCCGCCAATTGGCATCCAACCAATGTTGCGCAAGCGCGCAAGATTTTAACACAAAAAATAAATTCGTCCTAATTGACACCAAAACACGACTTGGAATGTAATTGCTTAAGAATAGCGATAGTCCGACCACGTGAATATCAGTAAGCGCCTTAAACTCACGCATGAATATGCAAGAGCGCCACGAGAAATGGCCCAAAACACAAGCGTCTGACGCGTTTTGGTTCAGCACACAACCAACACTGCCGCGGATGACCTTTCAGAGAATTGAAAAACTACAAGCGGGTGCCGTCACACAAACGTTCGATGACACAGTCAAACAAAGACGTATTAAGGAGCATATTTGCTAAGTACAGAAGTGTTGTCGCGTAGAGTGGTCTTTTCCTATACCTAGATGCCTTTTATACTTATACCTTTACCGTTTCCTGGAGTTTTTTCCTATACCATTGGTAAATAGTTATAAGTGAGCTAATCCCATGTCTTCGAACCTCAGTTAGCCGGAACAGGCTCTTGCCACTTAAACGTTGTTGATTGCAATAGGAAATAGCATTCAGTTAAGCTTATTTCATTTTATAGGGCTTAAACCAACTTACTACCCTCGGATCACTATGAGTGCAATATTTGTATTGTACTGTATTGTACCGCATTGAACCTAACCGGTCGATGCAGTATGGCCTTTCAGGATAAGCGTCATCATGTACGAAGTGTAAAAACAACAGACCAGGATAAAAGACGAATGCATCAAGGATAAAATAGTAACAATAGCCGTGGAAACGATCCACAGGCACCTATGCACATGGAAAGTAAAATTGTTGGTAGAGTTTCTCAAAATCCCATGCAGTCAAGCTCACAGCGAACGGCTTTCAGGCCCTCAGTGCCCTCATCGACGCACAAACGCGGACAGTGTCGGACGCTCAGTGACGGTCGGAGGCATCTGGTACCACGAGGCGGCACCACGATAGCGGAACCCCTGCTCTGTGGTCGAGAGTTTGCACCTCGGCAGCTCCAGAGCTCCCTCCGGGCACCGTACTAAGAAGTTTTGTTTAGCCGCCATATTCTCATTTTCCTTTTCATTCCCCACCCAAAGGCGTCATATTTGCCCACGATGTCGACCAATCCACAAACAGTACGAAGACTGCTTGGATACGCAAGAAACATATTTCATTGGATTCTTGTTACTTTGGCCCCGTACATTTTTATGGCTCTTGATGCGCAGTAATGTTATGATCACGCGTAGCAACGGCGCCGGGGTCGCGGTTGCTGCGTGTTTGAGGCGCCCGGTTGTTCGCTATCGTAGATATTTAAGTTCCAAGGTAAGAGTTTAGATGACCTGTTTAGCGATTAATTACAATACGTTCTGCCTTAAAAGCGGCGATTGGTGTACAATGGTCTTCTTTAACAAGAGTAACAGCATACAACAATGTTTACCGTGACTAGTACATTATATTGTAGTATTCAGCAGTGCTCCTTTTTCTTGAAGTACTGCCGTTTTGACAGAAGCTGGCTATTTTAATCAGTCTGCTTGTGAATTTATCAAAGAAGTGTACAAATATCAGTGATAGGAAGTGATGCGTAGGCTTACTAACTGAAGCCATCATAACACAAAATTTCTGCATCCAGTCAGAAAAAATATTGTTTCGCTGGATACTTACAAGACATCTGTGCTTGGATCTCTCACATTGGAATGTGAAACCCTGGCCAGTCGTAATCACACTGAATTTTCAAATTATTGGTGTGTAAATAGATTTTCGGCATATATTTACCTGAAACTACCTTGGTGATATCATGATTCCTTGACACATTGGCTCTCTTACCACTGGAGTTGATGGCACCTGTGTGCTGAACTATGAGCTCTTGGATTTAGAGGGAATGT